GCCCCGCCCCGCCCCGCCCCCACCGGCCCAAGGTGGCCGGGCCCTTCACCTTGAAAGACTCGAAGAAGCCTCCGCCGCCGCCGCCGTTCTCCATCTTGTCCTCGTCGCCGCCCAGGCCCATCATGGACTGGCTGTGGATGTGCAGCTCCTCGTAGAGCGTCTCCAGGAGGGCGGCCCGCGTGCGCTCCTGTAGGCCAGGCCCGCGGTCAGGAGGGGCCCAGTGACCCGTCCCTCGTCTTCTCTGGGGGAGTGGGAGTGGCTGGGCCCGGCGCTGGCCTCCCTCGGCCACGGCTGCCCAGGCGGCCTCCAGGGTCCTCAGCCCCAGGCCAGCTTCACCCTGGCCATCCCTGCCCCTCCCCGGCAGCCTCCGGAGCCAGGGAAAGCCACCCCTCCCCGGCCAGGCCGACTCCTCTAAATCCATCCTCCTGCGGCCCTAAGGCCAGTCCTAATACACGTCCCTCCCCACCACAGGGCTCAAATTCTAGGCTGAGGGGGCTCAGCCCCACCGCCCTCCTCACCTCCAGTTTGGCAAACTTCTCTGCCTTGTAGCAGGCATATTCAGCATTGATCAGCTTTGTCAGTAAAAATTCCTGGAACTCAGGCCCCTGGGAGCCCCCAGTGTGGAAGAGAGGAGAAAGGGGGGATGGTCATGTGAACAGACAAGGGATGCACCCCAACCCGTCACACTCTGGAGCTCTGGGGCCCCTCCAGGCTGGGGACTGGGGGCCCGAATTCATCACTGCCACCCAGAGGGGCACCTCCCCGCAGACCCCCCACCTATGAGGGCCCCTTGTGTCCTTCCTGAACCCCAGCCCTGGAGAGCATGTGGGGGGCCTGAATTAGCCCCCTAGTGTATCAGAGAGGGGGGGAGGGGTACTGAAGCCAGCTCTCAAGGTGGCTCTGAGCGCAGGAGACGTGCCCGCCTTCCTAACCATTTCATAAGAGAGAGAACACTATCAAAGAATAACACAAGTGAGGAAGCTCTCAGCATCTGCTACGAAAAACATAAAACTGTGATATTTATAAATAAGTCACAGCTTGTATCAAGAAGAACAGCAAAGCCACAGACCTCAGCTGGACCGTTAGGGGACTCAGCTGCGCTGGCACACAGTGGGGCTTCAGGGCCTTGTCTGGAAGAACAGGTGCCCCCCCCCACCCCCACTGAGTTCCACGCTGTGCCTCACCTTCCTGAACACTGCAGGGTCCGGGAGGGGGGGCCCGAAGAAGGGGACGTCATCTCTCGCAGTGACGGAGACCTGGAAGGAAGGGCAGCTGTCCCTGCCGAGCCCTCACACCGGCCAGGAGCCACTGACCGCCACGCTGGGCAAAGGGCCTGACCCCTTGGGGACGGACTGGGTGAGTGAGTCCTCTAGCCTTCTGAGCTTGAGTAGGGGGAAGGGATGGGAGAGGAAGGACTGGGTGGGAGGTGGGAGAGGGTAACAGCTTCCTCTGGGGAGGAACAGGGAGCAGAAGGCAGGACGGGACTCCACCACCACAGCCCTCCACACATCCCCCGGTTGACAGTAGAGAGCGGAGGCTGAGCAGGGCCGATGCCCAGGGGGCTGTGTGGTCACCCACCTTGTAGAGGGGGCCGTCGGGGCCCCCGCCTTCAGCTTGCACCACCACGTAGGCGTGCAGGAAGTTGGACGCGATCATGTCGGGCACGAAGGGCGTGTTCTCGTCCTGGAAGACCACCGCCACGATGTCGTTCCCAATGTGCCGCTTCC